AAAAAAAAAAAAAAAAAAAAAAAAAAAAAAAACCAAAAAAAACTACAGAATACTATCTTAGTGGGAAATTGTACATTACTTAAACTTTATACTTTACAATTATTTTAAAAATTAAATAACTTTAAAAATAGGACACGCAAAGAAAAAAAGTTTCAAAAATCACGTTTACAAAGTATAAAACAAGCGTTAACATTTTTATATATTTAATCTTGTCTCTTTTGTGCAGATCGCTTTTGTTTCTCAAATCTCTCATCAAACTATATATCCATTTTTATAACATCTTATCCTTAAGGTATGACTATATAACTTTTTTCAATTTTTCCTTGCAAATAGAAGATATCAAAAGTTTATTTTTAATACAGAAGCAAAATGACACATTTATCTCTAATTCGTATTCTATGACTATTCTTAAAACTTCCATAATTTTTTTAAAAACATACTGCATACACAATTGTTTTATAAAATTCAAAACTAAGGTTACTTCTCCATGATACAGAAAAACAGAACACAGTTGTAAGCATTTTAAGAAAAATTATCTTTTCAGAATTACATATTATAATGACTGCATATTTTTGTCAGGAAAATCTGTCAATAGTATAGTTTGTACTGAGGACCAAAAAGACAAACAGCTGTCCTCTACAACCAATAATAACTGTGAACAAAATTAGTAAAGCAAACTACTCACCCTCTATTACTGACAATTGCCTTTTTCAAGTGAATGTAATTTGCAGGAAAGATCCCCTGTAATAAAAAAAAAAAAAAAGATTTCCCATTAGAAAAAGTAAACTATAATGAACGTTCATATATACTAAAATAGCAATGGAAACCAATATAGATCTCCTACAGTAGCAAGGATTTTGCATATTAAGAATACAGAGTTGCAGACCAAGAGTATAGCTCAGTGGGGCACTTGCCTAGCTTATTGTGAGGTCCTGGATTCAATCTCAGCACTGCACCAAGAAGTAAATAAATAATAATAATTATAATTATATATACATATATATATACACACACACAACAGCATTGCAAAAAATAAGATTATGTAGGAATTTCATGACCATGTGCAATTAGTATATCCTTGGGAGAAAACAGTAATTTTAAGTACTGTGCAAATTAACATTTCAAATTTTACTAAAGGGATGCAGATTGGAAATGGTCCATCAAATCACTTCTAGAATACAGTATCACGTACATAGCTTGCCATACATGTATCTCTAAAGCCAGCATCATCATCTAACAAACAGTTTACAGATTACCCAGAGCTGAGTTGGAGAAACAAATTTTAGACTCTGGTTAACATTCAGACTCAAAATAATGTATCAATTTGAGAGTTTTTATTTTAAAAAATTTTTCCTTTACTCTTTGTAACTGTTTCCATTTTGGTATTTACCAAACTTAATTTTATTTTGGAAGAGATATGAAGAGTGTTCTTTTTTAAAAATCCATTTTAGTTTTACAATCACTTCACTCCTCCTTTTGATATATGAAACTTTCTTTCAAATAAAGCATGAATATTTATGTACATAAATAAACACATGCATCAAATACCAATGTCTCCAACTTCATAAAACAAAAACTAAGTAAGGGTCATAAAAGATCAGATAAATGTCAACACAATTAAGAGTAGAGGACCACAAGACCCACTATCACAAATAGATCAACTAAAGAAAACAACAAAAAAATTAGAGTTAAATCAAATTATTGAACAAACAGACTTAACATATCTACACAGTCTTCAATCAAACAACAGAAAACACATTCTTAGAAGTACATAGAACATTCTCCAAAATAAGTAAGTACATAAAAATCAAACACTCCATACAGAAAAAAGCATGGAAATAATGCAAACATATGGAGATGAAATGATATATTCTCTAAAAATCAATGGGTGACAGGACAAATTAACACATTTACAACAGGGCCATAATTTGTATGTCTCACTGCTGGATGGCATGAACCAGCAGTGGTACAGGCGTGACTATCCCAATGTGCAGCTTTATATTAATTTTATTAAAAAGATCTCTTAAAATGACTAGATCCATGTGTGTCATGAATGATACTGGCCACCTGATGGGACAGTCATTAGCTTGTGGTTCAAGCTAACCTGTGGTTCAAGCCAGCTGTGGTTCAAGCCAATAGGACATGATAAGAATTAGTTTCTACAATTAAACAATAATACTAGTATGACATATCACTACACAAGGCTTAAGGGTAGTGTAGAATACTGGCACCTACTGCAGACAGGCTATATATTCTGCTAAATATCTTCCATTGCAGAAGACAGCACCCTAAAACAAAGAACTGTCTAGCTCTAAATGTTGGTCGTGCCAGGAAAGAAAACCCCTGGATATGAGGAATTCAAATTTGAACATACTATTTTCTCATAACCATTACCTTAAAAGGTAATGAAATGAATGCTTCCAGTGACAAAATTGATGGTTAAAACTGAACACTTTTTAAACAAAAATGAGATTTTTGATATTTTTCTATACTTTGATGAAAATAGTATCAATTGTAAGACTCTAGAAACATAAATCTAGTATATAAAACCGGTATGTATAGTAATAACTTACTGATATTATAACAAAAATATTGTGATCAACAAAAAATCTTATTGGATATTATTTGAAAATTTTTCCATTCTGTAGTTTATAAGAAATTTGTCTAACTAATCACATGCTTTCACAGGACAAAGCCCATAAATAAGTCAAATACTTGAAGGGAAAGATGTTTAAAAGTCTGAACATGCTTCTTCAAGATTGCAGCTATGACCACACTGGCATTTTCCATCCTTTCAGAAAAATCATGTAATACTGCTGAGATGGAGAAGTATTTGATATAGTTTCGTAAAGGCAAAGATGATTGTGGCTACTGTAAAAGATTGAAAGATGGAGCAGTGAGTTGTTAATATATCAAGCATACTAGGTAACTCCTTCCTATATTAGAAGAGGTAATAGATTTTTCATTACCTTCACATTTGGTTTCTTTGTTGAAACTCCTCTGTACCAACCTAAAACAAAGCACACAAATGACTTTAAAATTGTATTGGTAAGATACATAGTAAGAGAGTTTTTAGAAACACATGTGAATATAAAACTTTCCTAAACCCACCAACTATAGCCTTATTAGAATCTAGAGTTGTCCTAGTATGGTAGTTCACTCCAAAAAGGAAGAGTTTTATGATGAATATAGTTTCAATTTTCAACACAAGGTATTATGGTTTAGAACTAAAATGTCCCACAAAATTCTCACGTGTTCAGAGGTGAGCCATTCAGAAGGTGATTGGATCATGACAGTGCTATATGCATTAGTGAATTAATTCATTAACGAGTTCAGGGCTGAACATGCTGTCATGAGATAAGGCCTGGTTTGAGGCAGGTCAGTGAGAGCATAAACTGACAGGATGAGTTCTTGTCCCTGGATGCTCCCTTCTCTCTCAGCTTCCTGACACGATGGGGTTAAGCAGCTTTTCTCCACTCCCCTCTTCCACCACACCATTTCTACCTTGGAGCCATCCAACCACAGACCAAATCCACTGCAAACTGAGCCAAATAAACCTCTTCTCCTTTAAAATGTGTCAGTCGTAGAGAACTGACTGATACACAAGGCATGATGCTCTTTCAACTGAATATGAGACCTCAAGGAATATGTAGATCATTTACACAAAAATTTCCAGATAAAAGTATTAAGAGCCAAAGAAATGCCAAAAAAACTTGGATTTGGAGGTTTTTGTTTGTTTTAAGGCAGATAAAGAGTACAGCCAAGACTTTGCTTCCTGTGCTGGGCACACAGCTCAGTGGCACAGAGCCTGCCTGGCAAGCACAAGGTCCTGAGTTCAATTTCTAGTACCAAAAAAAAAAAAAAAAAATAGACTTTGCTTCCTGATCTTATTCACTCTCCCATGTAGTACACTATACTATTTTCATTTCTTTGCCTTACAGCTGCTAAAGTCAACATCCCTCTTAGTGCAGGTCTCTCTTCCTTTATCTCCTTTCAGTATTCATACACAGTAAAGTTATGAAAAGTATCAATTAAATAATAAAAACAATTTTCAGGGACAGAAAACTTCATTTCCAACTTTTCTCACTTCCACCTTATTATTTCAGATTATTTCTTTAGTTTCTTAACTGAAGAAGCAGCTCAAGGAAAAGAATTATATTAAAGGAAGAAGGTAAAGAAAAAAGTGAAGGTGAAGAGAAAAAGCTATGAACAATAGCTAATATTAATGCAGAATATATTATTCTTAATTCCATGTACTAGAACTGAGGGCTTTTATCATATACTAGCCTTTAAATCTCAGAATAAGGATATGAGAAAAAGAATCATCAGAAAGTAGCAAACAAGTGGAAAGCTTTGTTTCTGTTTAGAGCAACAACTGATATAATAAATTCCATTAATTCATTTTATACCCTGAATCCCAATTCTGCATTCATTAAAAAAATGAAAGTCTTACCAGTATGACACTTTATAGTATATTAAGAAACATGCCGGGGATATAGCTCAGTGGTACAAGTGCCTGCCTGGCAATCGCAAGGTCCTGAGTTCGATTCCCAGTACCAAAAAAAAAAAAAAAAAGAAAAAGAAAAAAGAAACATAATGACATCAGAATGGCATGAGAGAATAAGGCTCTCCAAAAAACACCTCCTCAATAAAAGCCATGGGAACAGTACAAAGCTATATTAGCCAAGGTAGTGGGACACTGGTGAAACAATAGACAAACAGAGCTATAGAACCAAAGACAGTATCCAGAAATACACTCATAAAGACAGTCAACCAGTCTTTGACAAAGGAGAAAGAGCAATACCATGGGGAAAGGACACTGTTTTCAAGAAATGGTGCTGGAACACCTGGACATCCACATGAAAAAATAAAACTAGACACAGACTTTATACTGGACACAAAAACTAACTCAAAATGGATTACAGAACTAAGTGTAAAATGCAAAACTACAAAAACTCCTAGAGGACAATAAGAGAAAATCTAGATAGCACTGGGTATGGTGATTTTTGAAATAGAAAACCAAAGGCACAATTCATAAGATCAATGAGAAGCACAACCTTATGAAAATTTAAAAGTTCCTCTTCCATGAAAGACATAGTCAAGAGGAAGATAAGCCAATAACTGGAGAAAATATTTACGAGAGACGTATCTCATAACGGACTATTGCCAAAAAATGTAGAAAGAAGCCATAAAATTCAACACTGAGAAAATAACCTAATTTAAAAACAGGCAAAAGATTTGAACAAACACCTCCCCAAGAAAGAAATACAGGAGCAAGCATAGTGGTACACACATGTAATTTCAGCATTCTGGGAAGCTAAGGCAGGAGGATTTCAAGTTGAAGCCCAGCCTGGGCAACTCAGTAACTTTTCAAGACCCCATCTCAAAAAATAAAACAGGTCTGAGTCTATAATAGAGTGCTTACCTACCATGAGACCCTAGGTTTAATCCCCAGCACCACAAACACACACACATACACACTCAAAAAGGAGGAAAATTAGTGCAGTGGAAAATAAGAATATGAAAAAATGTTCATCATCATATCTGATTAGAGAACTGCACATTAAAGAAACAATAAGGGTTGGAAGGAGAGTAGCCCAATGTTAAAGCACTTGCCTACTCTGCTCAAGGTTCTGGGCACAGCAAACACACACACACACACACACAAACACATGTGTGCACACATATATGTACATACAAATGAGATACCACTATAAACCTACTAGAATGGCTGAAATTTGAATACAACAAGTTCTGGGGAGGATGTAAAACAATAGGAATTCTCATTAATTGATGATGACAATGCAAAAATCATACAGGCACTTTGGAAGAAAATTTAGAGGTTTCTTACAAAACTAGAGTCTTACTATATGATCCAGAAATATGCACTGCTTGTTATTTACCAAATCAGTTAAAAAAAAAAAAACACAACCACACACCAAAACGAAACAAAATAGAGTAAAAATGGGCATTTACAGGAGATTTACTCATGACTATCAAGTTCTGGAAGCAACCAAATAGGTGAGTAAGTAAATAAACTGGTACATCAACATGATGGGATGCTATTCAATCATATAAAGATACAAGCTATCAAGCCATGAAAAGACATGCAAGAACCTTAAGTGTGTATTGTTTATGCACTTAGTAATGCATATTGAGAACATACCATGTTCTTTGCAGTCAACCCTTCTCTGTGACCCTCCTTCCCCTCCCCAGTCGTGTCAAGCAATGATCTAAGCAGATTCCTAAGAAATCATTATCTCTGCTGGATGGCACCAATTGGGAAGGTGCAGGCAGGATGATGCTAAGCACTGAACCCTAGGCCTCAAGCATGCCAGGCAAGTTTGAGACAGCTGACCTCAAATTTTCCAATAGTTGGGCTTGCATGCACCACCATGACTGGCTTGAATGCCACCATTCCGTTGGTCAGCACTGTGTTCACTGAACTTCAGCCACCAACTTTCTGCTGTCATTATTGTTAACACGTATTAATTGTGCATATTAATGGGGTTCAATGTGATATACATATAGTGCCTGACCAAATCCAACTTCTTTTATTCAAGCCTCGCCTCAACACATATACACTTCCCAATCTCTAGTAATCACTATACTACTTTCAGACTGCCTTTTTAAAAAACTTTCTCATATGAAAGAGAACATGTGGTACCTGTCTCTCTGTACCTGGCTCATTTCATTTAACATTACATCCTTTTCAAGTTCTATCTATTTTGCTGCAAATGACAGCATTGTAATTTTGATTAGCATTCCCCTACTAGCTAGTTACATTGAGCATGTTTTCATATATTTGTTGGCCATTTTTATTTCTTATTTTGAGAAGTACATTTCTTCTTTTGATAATTGGTCATTTGTATTTCTTTTGAGAATGTTTCAGATCATTTGCCCATTTTGTAATTAGATTGGTTTTTTTTTTAAGTTCCTTACATCTTCAGGACATAAATCCTCTATCAGATTAATAGTTAACTGTGTTGACTGTTTCCTTTGATGTGCAGAAGGGTTTTGGGTTTGGTGTAGCCCCAAATGTTAATTTTTGCTTTTGTTGTCTGTGCTCTTTTGAGTCCTATCCAGAAAATCACTGCCTGTACACAAACATCTTGAAGTGTTTCCCATGTTTTCTTCTTTTAGTTTTTGAATCTCTAGCCTTACATTTAGATCTGTGTTCCACTTTGAGTTGATATTTGTATAGAATGAGAGATAAGGATCAAATTTAAATCTTCTGTATGTTGATATCCAGTTTTTCCAACATCTATTGAAGAAGTTAACCTTTTCCTGTGTATGTTTTTGACACCTTTGTTGATAATCAGTTGGCTGTAGACGCACAGGTTTACTTCTAGGCTCTCTACTCTGTTCCACTGGTCTCTGTGTCTCTATGCCCATAGCATGCTGTTGTGGTTACTTGGGGTTACTAATGCTAATTCTTCTCAAACTATTCCAGACAGCTGAAAGACAGGGAAGCCAAACTCATTGGAAATCGGATATTGTAATACCCCAAGCTTTATTCTTTTTGCTCAAGACTGTTTTGGCTATTCGGGGTCTTCTGTGTTTCCATATAAATTTTAGGACTGTATTTTCTAGTTCTCTGAAAAATGTCATTGGTGTTCTGACAGAGAATGCATTCAATCTGTAGGCTGTTTTGAACAGTATGAACATTTTAACAATATTAATTCCCCCAATCCATGAAAATGGGATGTCTTTCCCTTTGAGAGTTTTAAATTTCTTTCATCAGTGTTTTATACTTTTTATTATAAAGGTCTTTCACTTTAGGTAAATGTACCCCCAGGTATTTTTTAGCTATTATGAATGGGACTGATTTTATGATTTCTTTCTCAGCAAATTCATTTTCTGGTATATAGCTAGTGGTTTTTTGCATGTTGATTTTGTAATCTGATACTTTACTAAATTTACTGATATTAGAACTATCAGTTCTAACAGTCTTGTAGTGGAGTCTTTAGGTTTTTCTATATAATCACATCAACTGAAAATACAGATAGG